TCTCATTGCTTGATACTATACATATTGTTTATTTTCTAATGATATCTTCTGTTCTTTAATTGAAATGTGCATTGCTGACAGCGGAGCTATCTCAGCCGATAGGCTGCTTGTTTAATGAATGTGGTTCTAGTGCCATGCTTTGACTGATTATGTTCATTGTGTATTCATTATACATCATGTCATAGATACAGATATATTGGTTTGACGGTCCGATTCAAAATATCCGAGTGGTGACCATTTTTTGTGCTAAGAATCATAAAAAATCACTCATTTCTGGATCTCTGCAGTTTACAGGTGGATTTTGTTCAAACTTGGCACATACATTGGATATGATGCAGATCATTTTTAGATCAGATTCAAGATGACTGACTGGTGTCCAATTTGAATGCGGTTCTAGTGCCAAATCTCCGATATGCTTTGACTAATTAGATATACAGTTGTATTGGTTTGACGATTTGATTTAAAATGGCCGATCGGTGGCCATTTTGTTATGGATGAAAGACCACAGATCGAAACCTACGTCACATAAGCACTTGGTCGCTAGAGGGCGACATTTGGGAAATGGGAATATTGAAATCAGTATTGATAAATATAACTGCCATGTATCCGAACATGTATAATAAATCCTTACTGTGTCATTAAACTCGCAAAAAGATGAAATCATAACTAATACAAACTTTGTGACCCTGTCCCAGTTTTAGACATCCGGGAACTATTGTAAGAAACATGTTCAGGAAATACTGATGTAAAATGAGTTGATATTTTATTTTCAATAATCATTGTGCCCCTATAGTTGGTCAAACATTACTCATAATGCACTAAATCAATTATAAAGCAATGAAACAATCGTGTAATTAAATCGAACGACGTCTCATTTCACATGACCCATGTAGCAGACAGGTATTATTTTTTCGTCCAGTCATTTGTCGAAAGTGTTTTTTTCTCGTTGGTAGACACGCTTAGTTGTGAAATTATTTGGAACCGCATTCATTTTAATGTTTACAGTTAATGGTTATATTTTGTTCTTACATTGGTACATATAACAAGGGATTATGTCAAAGGTCACTCTCGAAATAGACACATTTATGGTTATTAATGTGAAAATGACAAATAGTAATTGAAGATACGACTAGCTACATCCGGGTATCGTCGCGCCAATGTTGGCAACTTCGAACAACTCACTCGTGTGACGGGAAATGATTGCATTTTACGTGAGATTGTAAACTACCCTGCGTGAGGTAGCACGTGATGAGTGACACTTCCGTTGTCATGGATATCGGACAGTCATCAAGGTTATTTAGTTGAATTTAAAACAAGACTTGCAAACAATGTATTATAAAAGATCCGTCTTACATCACTAATAATCTCGTCATTGCCATGGATACATGAATAAACTAGACTAAACACCTATTTAGGAATGACCGAGATTACATAGTGAACGTTTTAATAACAATTTATTTTTTTCAAAGAACGATTGCTTCATCATAGTTTTAAAATCAATATCGTCGGGTGTAAGAGATAAAAAAACAGTTCTTATTAAAATGTGAAATATATGAAGAGGTAAACTCACCAAAACATCGACTCGCTAAATATACTAGGTGTAGATTTTACCATAGACTAAACAAACACGCTCAAGGCATTAGTACTATACATCAAAAACAAATTAATATCCGTTTGTTTTAATACCAATAAATATGTCTATTTTGTATTCATTTATATTTACTTTCTGATATTCAAATTGTTATTAAACAAGTTATATAATTTTGTTCAATTCCTGTAAATTCAATTCCTACATTTTACTACATGATATGATTACTTACTATGTCTGTTACAATACTGAACCCGGATTAACCACTCACTCACTCGTACACACGTTATTGTATTAGAAAACAATTTCTGATAATTACTGAGACCAGCAGATTTCAGATTGCGTTACAATCACCGGTGAATAAATAATCAGATGTGCGAAAATATGTATTTTGCTGAAATCAATAATTTTTCCGAATATAGACAAAATTTATGTATTTGTGTGAGAATGATGGAAACTCTTGTGTATAATAGTATTTTTTGTTTCTCAGTCCTCATCTCAGAACGTCGTTTATCACATTCTCAAACGTTGACGAGACTAACGTGATTCTTCCGTTAACCGGGGATAGGTAAGTTACAATGTATAATAAGTGGATCAGACCGAGACGTACATCCTGGTTTTCTCACAGGGTGTTTTCATAGATATAGACTTGCGGTTTTGCTTCCTAATACATATAATATGACTCACGATAGCATTTCTATCACAAACCCGTTTTACAGAATATATGCCCGTGTATTGTTCTCATCAAATCATGTTATCATGTAAGTGAATGCATTCACAAATGCTTTTTAAAAGTTATCGATGACCCGGATTTCGAATTTCAAGAGGGCCAGCAATAACGTTATTGTAAAGGTGCGCCCTCTAACTCAACATTATGGTGCATCGGTCGAACACCGCAAATGAATACACCGATAGTTCAGTGGACCACTTTCGTCCTTCCTCTCGTCAAACTTGTGTCTGCATTGCACCCTAATTGACGACACAAAACAATTTTACCCTGTTTTATCGTAGAGATGATATCGACAAAGGAATTGATAATCTCCGTGAGATACAGACACGTGGAGGAACCTACATGCATGCTGGCCTGTACTTGGTGAACGAGCAAATAGAAAATGTAGGTAAGTTGGACTCAGAACGCACTCAACGATTACGTTTTCCCGTAGCCACGAATTGACGCACTGTAGTTGTATTTCTAGCGACCTAATTTGAATATATCTTGTAAACAATAACTATTTGTTAATTTTCACAACTTATATTGCAGGTTTCGGTGCGGCCAGTGTAATTATAGCGTTAACAGACGGAATGTTAAACGACGAAGAGTTGGCAGTCAATGAGGTCAGTCGTTTTAGTGTATTTTATTTATTTATTTTATTTAACCAACAACACCCTATTGGCCAATATGGTTATTTATAAAATACATATCTATAAAATAACACTTACAGTAAAAGTATATCAAATCGCTATCCAAATTTGAATTATAAATATATTATATTATCTTATTAGTGAACTCAACACGGGCAGATGGAATATAAAATACAGCTGTACGTCTAAAAGTTCTTGCCACGTGTCAAAGACGAACCTTTACAACAGCTATAAAATCTGCCCATGACACGCTTATACAGAAAGACCATAACAAAGTATTTTCTTCGAGCTGCAAGTATTGGTAAACTTAAAGTTTTACGCATAACTTAGTATGGTATGCAGTATTCCGCCAAGCCTGTCTGTACAGCAATTGTACTGCACGAACACCTAATTACACGAAGAACCTAAAAAAAATTTAAAAAATGATTATCTTCAGAGTTATGATGATTTAAATATGAGAAACCATAAACCTGCATTCCAGCTCAGCAGCCAATCATCGACGGCCTAACGCTTAGATGACAATTTCGATTTCAAATACCCCGGTTTAGTGTTCTAGGTTCTTCGCGTAATTAGGTGTTCGTATGCAAGGGATTTTACCACACAAAAACGACGAATTAGGCCGAATTTTGATATCAGTTGGCTTAATATAACCCCAACGAATCGTATTTTTGTGAAAGATTGGTATTTTTGTCCTGATTTGTAGGAATCTGAAAAATGCGTTTTGCAACTTGTCTCTTATTTAGTTTTATGCGTCATTCAAGATGGCGGCCCCAATATAGTAAATATAGTATTTATTTTATTATCACGTGTGCGCCAGCTGACTGTGCGTGGAACGTCTTGTGACGTAACTCCGCCCCGAGGATACTATTCAACATTATGCTACTAGATACGAACTTGCTGCGCAAATAACTAATGTATAGCAACTTGAATTCGTTTTTTAGCTCCGCTGTCGACTTTGTCGAGCGGAGCTTATCATATGAGTGATTGTCCGTCGTCCGTCGTCGTCGTCCGTCGTCGTCGTCCGTCGTCCGTGTCAATGTTTTACTTTTTCGACTTCTTCTTGAAAACTACAAGCCTGAATGCTTTGATACTTGGTGTATATGTACCTTGGGTAGACCTCTCTTAGGTTTGTTCATTTCATGTTGATATCTTC